ACACACGCACACACTCCTATGGGCAATTTAGAGACACCAATCAACCTAAGCTGCATGGCTTTGGACTGTGGGAGGAAGCCGGAGTACCGGAAGAGAACCCACATATGCACGGGGAGAACATGCAAACTCCACACAGAAAGGTCCCAGGTGGGGCCCGAACCCACTAACCACTGCGCCACTGTGCTGCCCTATAGTATGAAGATGAAGGGGGTTAAACAGAGATGAGGAGGAGAAAAGGGAAAGGTGGCAGTGAGAACAGGAAAGGAGAAAGACAAAAGGGAGAGGAGAAAGCACAGATGTGAAGAGAGGAGGAAGAGGAGAGAGTGAAATAGGAAAGAAAAGAGGAAAAAATGGCGGCACCTAGAGAAGCAAAATAAGCAAGTAATGACAGAGAAGAAGGGGACAGGTGGAGAATGGAGGAGATGTGGGCAAAGGAAGGGAGGAGTGAAAGAACAGAGGAGAAGGGAGCGAGGTGGAAGGTCAGACAGCTTCAGCTCGTACTGAGGAGCGCTTCATTTATCCACCTGCATCTTACATTTCGCTGAAACACATCTACTGTTGCATTAGTTGACCAGACTGAAATACTTGTATTTAAGTACAAGTTTCAGTAGTTTATAGAGTAAAAATCACAAAAATCTTCAAGAACACAAAAATACTCAATTCTTATAAATCAAAAGTTCTAATTATAATAAAGTGTTTTTATAAAAAACTAACCAGAAAACAAGGGCAGCTGTTATTTGCTCAAGTGAAAGACAAATCCAGAAATCCAGATAAAGGGCAAGGGGAAAGAGAAAGTGACCTTTATTAGAGGAGAGGAAGAGGAAACGTTAAAGAGAAAAAGTCATGAGAGAAAGAACATGATTGATGGAGGGGAGAAGAAGTGGAAACAGTAACTGAGGAGCTTCTCAGAGAGGATGGAGCCGTCAGTGGGAGAACCACCCACACACACAGACACACACACCTGTCTTCATTACCTGAACCGATGCAGAGCAGCTACACAGAGGCCAAAATCAATAACTCTCTGCTGTACAGAAGGCGCTGCATCACACAAACACACACTCACACAGTAGCACACAATAAACAATTACAAAGGAAACAGTCACAGACACACACACAGTTTGTGGAGGATATACATTCATTAGAGTCAGTCAGTAGGAGAGAGAACATGAACACACACAACCCCACAGGAAGACGGAGAGTGTGCATCAAGTCTTTTGTGTGCTTTTATATGCGTGTGTGTGTGTGTGTGTGTGTGTGTGTGTGTACAGTAGACGGGACAATCTGAACACACTGCACTGTCTGTGTGTGTGATATTCATATAAATGCAGGGAGCTGCCTCACCTTGCCCTGTGTGTGTATGTGTCTTTGTGCTCGCATCTCAATGAGCACATTTTGGCCTCGTCGTCATGTCTTCATCACGATGCTGTCTGCGGGCGCTGGGCCTCTGTTTTAGGTCCAAGTCAGGCTTCATAAAGGACACAAAACAAACTGAAGCTTTTGGCTCATCTACAAATATACAGACAGGCCACAAATGAAAGGAAGAACCTGAATGAAAGTGGCCTCCTCCAGGACGACAGAGCCCCCCCCATCCACAGGACACCAGGGGTCACTGACTGGTCTGATGAGGAGGACCATGATGTTGTTAACCAGATGCTGTGGCCTTCCCAGTCACCAGGTCTCAGCCCAGTTGAACAGCTATGGGAGATGTTGGAGCGACGTGTTAGACGGCGTCTCCACCACCATCATCATCAAAACACCACAAGGGAACATCTGTTGGAAGAACGGTGTTCATCCCTCCTGGAGAGTCAGTGCCATGGTGGAGCTGTTCTGGTGACACAAGGTGGCCCAGTACCTCACTGGGACTCTGTGCTGGACTGTCTTTCCATCTGTCACTGTTTGTAGCAGTATACAGGTGCAGATTTGTAAACACAGGTATAGAAAGCCAAATCCTGACTTTGTTTATACACCAAGTTTGTCTGAGAGTGTTCATATAACTTTACAAAACCGGGGATCCATCTGTCGTGCCCACTTTATGCCCTGACTGCTCGGGTGTGCAGACGTGGGGTTTGGACTGCTGTCTGCAGCACAGTGAATACAGCTACTGTTCACTGTTATCCACATTAATAAAGCAACCGCCTCACCTTTCTGTGTGACGGCCACCTGCCAGTGGGACTTTTCAAACTGCTGTAAATGATTTTGCCTTTGACACGTCACATCTTGTATAAATTGAGTTTGTCTCAAGCACGATGAATCCTTTATTCATGGTTCTGGTCTTTAAAAAAGACAAGCTTTATGATTCCTGGGGTCCATTACGTTTACAGTTTGATGGTTGTGACTGATCTGACCTGTGTGGTCAGAGCCTGTTGTTC